TCCCTTCGAGTATCAGTTGCCGAAAGCTGTATGCAGTATATGGATAACTATATTCACGTAAAGTTTCGTATGCTATTTTACGAACCGCTTTATTAGTGGTATACGAGTTCTTTATTTTTTATGGGAGTAATCCAACATGAGTAAACAATTTAATATGAACTCTGTTTTCAAATCAGGACCAAAACTAAACTAGTAGTCTTTACTAATAAGAGAAAGCTTACTGGAGTTGTAGGTAAAACTGAAAGTTGTAGGTAAAACTTGTAGGGAGGCTGAAACCAAAGGTAGTATGTGGGTTATACACATCATTGATACGAACTTCTACATATAACACACTTCTAAATATAATAGAAGCCTTAAATAGTACAGGAGTGACATATTTAAAGGCTATCAAAGGTTTCTCTCGCTGAAATTATATATTTGGGAGGTAGCCTTTATGCCCATCCTAAAACTTCAAGTACACAATACTTGGAGGCCGAATTCTGTATTGAATGGTCAGCAAATACTACTGGTACTCTACTCGAGGAATCCATCTTTCAAATTACCTCAAATATGATGACACCAGAACTAATCTTTACTGAGAAGATTAACACACTTGTCGTTGGGCAAAAATGAAATTATAACAAATCTTACAGCCTAGGTCAAAATAAAATTGTGTTCCAGGCTGCAGTTTTTTGCTTTGGTGGTCTCCATTAATGAAATTATGGATGATGACCCCAAAACAAATAAAATCAAAATTTATACAAATAGCTACACGGCTATTCTGGCTGTACAGAACCCACTTACCAATTCAAAACTAGTGAGGAGTTGCAAAGATTTCCTTAACAACCTCGCAAAAGACAATGAAGCGTCTTTGATATGGGTTCCGGATCATGAAGGGGTGCATAAGAATAAACGAGCAGATTTGTTGCATCACCAAAGATGCTTCAAGGAACGAGGTAAGAAAGTAATCAAAAATATCGATAAAAATCTCTCCGTACAATTGATGACCTCTATAAATGAAAGATTAAAACAGTCACCAAAACGGTGATGACATTGTCGTTTAAGAAAACACTATATTATACAAAATAGGCAAGGTGGATGAACCATGGTGCAGAAACTGACAAATTTAAGAAGATACTGCAATGCACACCTTATGCTAGGGATGTGTAGTTCACCATCGAAATAGTTCAAATGAACGATTCTTTCAACTGAACTAATTTTCATAGAACTAGTTCACTGCGAACGATTTGCATTATAAATTGTGTCTCCACTTCTAAAGAAGAAAATAATGAATGAATGAGATCATATATTTCGAATGGAGCGGGTATATTTACATAGTCCCTGATAGAAGCAAGGGGAGTAGATGCAGGCTTTTTCTTAAGAATTATAACTGCTTTCTCTTCATCTATCCCCGCTTGTCCTACTAGCGAAACTGATTTTGACGTTGAAGGTTGAGGTTCTTGAACTGTATTTTCTGATTTTTCGGGTCCTTTTTCTGTCTATCTTTCAACGTTGCGATATTTGAGTTTGATAGCAGGGTGTTTCATTCTTAAATGTCTTGATAAGTTTCCCAGTGAACCACTTGCAATACTAACATCACATGAACAGTAATTACATTTTGCAGATTTTTAATTTTTATCGTTTTTCTCGAAATGATCCCATAAAAAACTTATATCTCGTCTGTTACTCATCTTTAGGGATTGAAGAAATTAGGATAAGAAAATAAATTATTATAAAGAAAAACTAACTAATCATGTAGTAATTTAAAACATTTAAACTTAAACATACGATCGAAAGAAATGGTTCCGAATCCGAACTACCTGTACGCCGTACGGTAGTGAAAGACTGACTGAAAACCGAAGAAAACGGGCGGCCGGCGCCGAGCTTGTGTGATGATTGAGACGAGACATCTGGCAACCAGTTATGTTAGGGTTGGATTTCGATTTCGATCCTACAAATAGTTCTTTCGCGAACTAATTCACTGAACTAGTTCATTTTTGTAAAATAGTTCTCTTGAACTAGTTCGTCTAAAAGAACTAATAAGCACACCTCTACCTTATGCCAATGCAATGTGCTAAGTGATATGGGGCAAAAATTCAATGAGAACTGAACCAGAAGAGAAACTAAAACTAAAAAAATACCAATGAAGATTGTTGGCGTTTTTTGAGACCACAGGACTTATTGGAGCGTAATAAAAAAAACAGGGTATGGTACAACAGCTCTTATGTTCAAGTGCCACAGTTTAACGTATCTCGCCTGAATTACGAAGAAAAAAAATCCAAGGCCATTCATAAAATAGCGACTTAAAATGTATTAACATATTTATTTCTTTTGTTTGGAATGTAATTCAGGACCTAAGACCTAGACTGTAGACCCAAAACGCTGTTTTAGGTATCGCTTATCCTGTGTGATAGGTATAAATGATATACAATGCTTTTCAGATAAAACTATCCACCTTAAATAACTTTTAAACTTCTAATTTTTAGGAAAAACGCAAAAACACGTCATTAAATATTTGAAGGGGGACTCATTATATCATATTTAAGGTTGCTGGGAAATGCACCCTCTCACCCCCTTATCATCCCTTTATTTTTTTTAAATTACTTCCCCCTTTTTTTATTTGATGTTTGGATTCTTCTCTTTGTACTGATTTCAGAAATGTATAATACATGATGTTTGAAGTAATTAGTTCTTGAGAAAAATAAACACAAAATCAAGAAAATTGGATTGAAAAAAAAAATATTTTTTAACAATTTTATTACACACATTTAGAATGAACATTTCACTACTAAAAATGTTTAAAATATTTGTTCAAAATGACTGCCCTTCACTTCCATACAATAGTACAAACTATTTTCAAATTTTTCTCTGACATTGTTTAACATGTCTGCATTTAATTGTCGACATTTATCCTCTATTCTTTGTAGTAAATCATCTAGAGATTCTGGTTAAGTAGCATAAATTTTGTTTTTAAATACCCCCATAAGAATAAGTCTAGATATGTTCAATCCGGTGACCTAGGTGGCCAATCCATCTGTCGTTTTTTACCTATCCGAGGATTTCGATTATTTCTTGCAAAGTGTGCACCATTTAAGAGATCTAATTGCACACGTATCAAAATAGGCTTTTACTTACAAGTTATAAAAAATTGTCGTTGGCTATTAACCGATTAAAACAAATCAGTAAAAAACAGTAAAAATAATATCGACCTTTGATAAAACTTGATAAAAAAGTGAATTTTTTGTTTTTTGGTTTTTAAAGGCACTACAAATAGTACGGTTAAATATTTTAAAAGTTTAAATTATGCTACAACCTATTTTGTTACAGTCAATTAAGGTGAGAGAGATACTATCTTGTTAACAGGAAAATTGTCTATCTCATGAACTAATCACTTCAAGTCAAAGGTATTATACATTTTTGAAATCAGTACAAAAAAAAGAATCCAAATATAAAATATAAAAAGGGGGAAGTAATTTAAAAAAAATAAAGGGTTGATATAGGGGGTGCATTTGATATAGAGGGTGCATTTCCCAGCAACCTTAAATATGATACAATGTTTCCCCCTTCAAATATTAATTAACATGTTTTCGCGTTTTTCCAAAAAATTAGAGGTTCAAAAGTTATTTAAGGTGGATAGTTTTATCTGAAAAGCACTGTATGTTAACGTATTTGTAATTTTTTTGTCTCTTCAATTTTTTGTCAAAAAACACAACTTTTGAAGATAAGAAAACAGCTACAGAGTCTCTAGGTGGATGAATGAGGCAAAGCCTTGACAGGATATTTATACCTAAATTTCAAGACAAGTAACCCATTGGAAAATAGGGAAGGCAAGGCGATGCGCATCTTGGAAGACACTTGATGACATCCCCCCTACTTTAGAAGACTCTGAAGTTTATTGAAAAAAAATATATATAATTACAAAACAGAAAAATATCAGTATGAAATACGACGTAATAAAAAGTTAACATATAATAAAAAATGTGTGAAACACAACACAACACTTTACCGCGACTCCAGGGAAGATGGTGGTGACATCATCTCCATCCTTGGCAGGTTCCATCCTCGATCGATGCACCAGCTCCATCTTGCAATAATACCAATTTTTACCTTAAAACATTTGTGTCCGTAAGTGCAACATCTCGCTTTCCCGAATTCCTCAACATGAACAAAAATTCATACAATCGAGGATTAATCAACTTTACAAAACGGATGTACATATGTGAAATTATGAATATAATTTCAGTGTATGAGGACTGTATTATATAGGGCTGGTTCAATTAAATTAGGATGTGCAGTGAAGGGTTATACAAATTATAGCAAATTAAGTTTATACAAAGTCTTACCAATACTCTGCTACACACACCGCGGTATTTACAGGCTGTCACTCGCGGATGTGCGAGTGACAGCCGTACGGGGCTACGGGGAAGCTCTCTGGGTTACCGGTTTCTGGACACGTATCTCGTGGTACTAACACTGAGATTACGAGATAGAGCACATTTGCGTCTGTATACGATTTATAACAGTAATAATAATATTATAACAGAGAGAATGTCTGTTGTTAGTGGCAGTCAACAGTAGAGAGAATACTTCTGTTACTAACGATAGTCAGCAGGGAAGAGAGAGCGTCTGTTCCAAGCGATAGGTAACAGGCAAGAGAGAGAACGTCTGTTCCTAACGGTAGGCAACAGGCAAGAGACCGTCTTCTTGTTTGCTATCTTACAACTGTCTGTATTTCTAATGGGGTATGTGAGTAGGAAGGGTTGAGGAATGAGAAATAATTGTAAATTGTGGTAGAATGATAGTAATACAGCGGAAAAATGACATGATTTTTTGCATGTGAAAAAATTGAACATAAAATAAGTTTTTGAAAGTGAAAATTTATGCGTTAATTTTGCGGCATAGTGTATTTGAAGAAGGGCAAACTTGACGACACATGTTAACAAAATTGTAATCATACACTAAAAATGTTTGTCTAATATAGAATTACTATACAGATTAGTTTTAAATAAAATACTACTTACATCAAGTGTGTACAAGTTGAATCCCAATCAGGTTTGTACTTAGCCCCCATAGAAAGCGCCATAGTTCTAAGAATACCACGATCTGGATTCTGAATTCCACTAATAACCAATGTGACTCCCGATAATAATTCATGAAAGGGTTTAGTTAATTTAGCTTTTTTCGGTTTGGAAGATTCCCCTAAATTATCATTAGTTTTTCTTTTAGTCTCTCTGTTTTCATTGTTGTCCTTTTTTATTTTATCGTTCTTCATGTCATCATCTTTGATTTTTGTAGGTCTTGGAGTGTCTATCGTAGTTTTATCCATTTTGAGATTTCTTTTTGGGTACCATTTGGCGATTTATCTCTCTTCTTCTTACTTTCTTCCGAATAGTCATTCTTTTTCTTTTTATTATCATCATTTGATGAATCGTTCTTTTTCTTTTTATCATCATCATCTGATAAACCCCAAAAATTTTTACGTTTCTTATCGTTTTTCTCATTCTCCTCTTTTTCTTTTCGTTTCAAATCTTCTTCCTCCTTTTTCTTCATAATCTTGTCTATTTTATCAGTATTTTCTTCATCGTCACTTGTATAAAAAAGTGCGTCTCTGTTTCTGTTTTTCGGTTTAGACAAGTCTGCGTCATGTTGAGGGGCTTTTTTCTTCGTTGTAGAGTCTGGATCTTTATTTTTCAATTTAGGTTTACATGTTGGAGAACCATACATAGCTAAAGATGAAGATGATGAAGCATCCCGTATGGCAGCTGCCGCTGGAAAATAATAAATCTTTAATTATTTGTCTGTTGCTTCAGTGTAATTTGCAAGAGATTTTAAAATAACGCGTATGTTCCTCAATAGTCAATAAAAATAATAGTTACTCTAGTGTTGTTTATTCTTATTAAGATGTCCTTTTCATCATTGATGGTTAATTATCATTATCTTCTGTAAGTAATTATATATATGGCACAGAACACCCTCTTGCGGGTTTGCGGCAAGTAGCATAACAAATGTAGTAGTACTGAAGGGACCAAGACAAAGACCAAAATTGAGTTTTGTTTTAAATAGTAGTATTATAGAGACGAATAACTGTGTTAAAGATTTAGGAAAATATTTTGATTCAGGTTTTAGATATACAAAACACCTTGTAAATATAGTCCAGAGGGCTAAACAGACAACTGCTGCCATGACAAAGATTATGCCAAATATAGGCGGGATGAGTACCTATAAATGAAAAATGTATCTCCAAGTGGTGCAATCGACCCTCCTATATGGAGCATCCGTATGGCTTGACGTGTTAATATTTAAAAAAGATGAAGAAATATTAACAAGGATCCAAAGAACGCATCTACTGAAGGTAATAACTGCATACCGGACTACATCGACAATAGCCCTACAGGTGATTGCGTATACGCTCCTATTCATCTCTTAGCTAAAGAATGTAAGATATTATAACAACCACCTAAAAACGAGGTAAGAAAACAAATGCTAACAACAAAAATGGGAGGCATAAATAGAAAAAGCACGATAGACAGAGACACTAATTCGAGATGTAACAGAGTGATATAAATGTAGGCTTAAAACAACAAATTACGTTTTTACATAATTCCCGACCGGAGATGGCTCATTTAGGTCTTATAAATATTGCATAAAAAAAAACTGAAGGTGATTTATGCTTAAAATGCGGACTGCATGATGACTCAGAGCACTGCGTATTATATTGCAACGTTCTCCACGAGACACAAGATGTGAGAAAAGGCTAGGATATACACTACCCGAGAATATAAATTATATTCTCTGATTTTCTGATTATTAAATGAATGTAACTATGCAAAACACAGATAACTTTAACGTGATAAACCTAATAACAGAAATAATAAAAAAAAGAAACACGTGAGAGGGAGAGAGAGAGAAGAGAAAGAGGAGAAAATAGAAAGAGAGAGAGCGAGACAAGATAGGAGATAATAGAGTGAGTGAAGACTTTTTTTAAAATTATTCCTTATTTTATTGGTCTGGATTGAGTAAGCAGACTGAGTCCCACACCAGTGCTCAAAGATGACCTTAATGGTACTGAGCTTGAAGAGTCCGCCTTTGGTGCTGAATGATGTGGGTTCGATCACCGCTACAAAAATGAAATCAACTAGTGCTTAGGTCGTTACTTTGAAAGCCCTTACAAACCACGAAGCCAGTATATGTCTATAAACCACGAAGCCGTTATATGTCTTTACATTTAGTCGTTTGGATCCGATGTGAAACTGTAGGTCCCCTATATCTGTGTACACTGAGTCTTACACAACACGGGTATATAGGGTATAGAACAGTTGCCTCAAACTTGGATATGGCACATTAGGAAGATATGATAGGAAAGGTAAATGGAAAACAACCACATCAATATTCCAAACAAGTTAGCATAATATGACAAAAGACAAATATATAATCACTGTCAGGTCTTCGGTGACCAAGAAGCGCTAAAAATCCCTAGGAGGATACATGGAATTTGGGAAATTTGGTTTCGATTATATAATCATTTACCCAGTACATGTAAGGTTATGCTCGTCTTGCTCTAAGCAATGCACAACCAGGATAAATTTCTATTTCTGGTATTTTCTAAATTTATTTTTGTTTTTTTTTTTATTTTGACAAGTAAAAAAATATTTTTTTTATATATCTATTTGAAAGAATTTGATGAATTTATTAATTATTTTTATAATTTTGTCGGAGGGTTTATATAGAGTACTATGTAGAGATATTGGACTCTCTATTCCTGCTTTTAATACTTCTAAATACATATTTTTGTGTTTGTTTATGGGACATTTTGATATGAGTTACACACATATATATATATATATATATATATATATATATATATATATATATATATATATATTATATATACACACACACACACACACATATATATATATATATATATATATATATATATATATACAATGTCCACTAAGTAAACGGTTAATATTTGTTATAATATTCCTGCCAATCTGCAATAGTTTGGATCTTTATCTTTAATTTGGCAATGCCATTCATTGTAGAATTGTGTTAAAATGTGTTTTTTTGTAACAGAAAAGATATATGTACTAACATTTTTTATATCATATGGTACTCTTAATTATCTCCCAATATTCGCCAACCTATCGGCTAACTCATTAGTTTTAATCCCCTGATATCCAGGTACACATTCTATTCCTATTGAGAATCCCACATTATTAGCTTCTACCAATAGTTTTTTGGTCATTATGGTTACATAATCCTTTTGATCCCATTTGAGACTGGAAACTTTGGATAAATCACTTTTTGAATCCACAAAGATAACTGCTTTCATGATCTCCTCAATGCACACAGAGATAAGTTTATATATAGCTCTATATACATTTCAGTTGTACATATTTGTGTGTAATTATGGAGTCTTGATGAAAATTTATAATTAATCCCTGGTATATAAATTCCAAATCCGGATTGATTTGTTTGTGGGTCGATAGATGATTACTATATATTCCACCATATTTTGCTAAAAACATTTCATTAGATTCAATTTCATATTTTTCATATTCTAGACTCTTAATTGTAATAGGATATAAAAGAATTTTTCTTTCTACTTCACATATGGGATTAATTTTGTATCGGATTATATTTTTTGAGTATGTCTGTATATGCTAATGAGTAGTCTTGTATAGCTTTATTCTTCCAAAATTGGTTATTTGCATTTATAGTTTCATTTAACTTATTTAAACTTCTTATTACTATGTTATTTTTTTCAGACATTTGTTTCAATATGTTGCAAATGTATGTTGTAAAGTGTTAACAAATGCTGAAAAAGAATCGGACGTACTAGCTATAGGTAAGTTAATATAGAAATGAAAAGAATAGAAATGAACATTTTAAAATTCTAAATAAGACACTATCTAAAATGTTGTAAGCTAAGTGAATTTCCAAACAGATTTAAATATTACGAGTTCATACTTCAACCTCTGACAAATCAGATGATGAATTAGGTAATATATTTTACAAAAACGTAGAGGAAGCTATCAAATTCACAAAAAAAAACCAACGTTATCACATAAAACAAAAACGCAAAAATTGGGAAGTAAAAGGTGGACACCATGATGTGACGAACTGGGTAATTCGTGAATCTCATCCTAATTACAAACAGATACTTCAAATGGCTAAAAAGGAGAGCCAATAATTACCCCAAGACACTACTAAAGGACAACTTTATTTAAAACAGATTTAAACATTACGAGTTCATACTTCAACCTCTAACCAATCAGATGATGAATTAGGTATATTTTACAAAAACGTAGAGGAAGCTATCAAATTCACAAAAAAAAAACAAACCAACCTTATCAAATGAAACAAAAACGCAAAAATTGGGAAGTAAAAGGTCGACACCACGATGTGACGAACTGAGTAATTCGTGAATCTCATCCTAATTACAAACATATACTTCAAATGGCTAAAAAGGAGAGCCAATAATTACCCCAAGACACTACTAAAGGACAACCAATTAGAAACCAAATATAGTATACTATAATCAACAGAAGATTTAGAAATAGAGTAATCAGCTCCAAAGCCTGACCAGCTTGTGAAGCTTTGCAACAGAAGCAAACAAACCATGACAGGGCAATCTAAAATAGGAAAAAAGAAGCAAAATAAAACAAATCCTTAAATGACGGTTGAAATAATAAATGTATTGGAAAAAAAGGTGCAAAAAATAGGAACACAATAAGATTAACAGAACTGAAGGGAGAATCGGCAAAAAATTAATCTAATAACGAATGTATAAATACAGGAAAATAACCAAATAAAAGTTAATCTAGAAAAATAAAAGGATATATCTTAAAAACCTTTTCACAGATGATATATCAACAAAATACCGTAAAGCAAATATGACTGAAGCGTTCTGAATATTAACATCGAAAGGGGTTTGTGCAAATAAGAGAAAAACACATGGGGAAGATTCCCCATTTGACCCTAAACAAAAAAATTAAATAAAGCCTCATAAATCACGTGATTACAGCATGAATAATGTTGAATAGTATCAAATTATAATGTTACGAATATCTTAGAAAATTTCAGTATTGATTTAAGAAAGATACCATCATCCGAGAAGCAATGACCGATCAAAAATAACAACAAAATTTTCAAATATACTGAACACCCTCGTGCACTGGCAGATATAGTTCACCATCAAAATAGTTCAAATGAACGATTCTTTCAACTGAACTAATTGAACTACAGTGGGTGGCCAAATTATTAGGGACAGTGAAAGATTTCTTAATTTTTTAGTTTTATTGATTTTTTTTTGCAATTTGTTGGCTTTAAGGCTTGCATTTATTTTTTGTATAAGAGATTGAGAAATTAGGGTCACAAAAACATTAAGTTTTGTTAGTAAAACCATTTATTTTTTTCGCAAATTTTTTTTTAACATAATATGATTAATTTTAATATTTAGTGATGCCACCCTTTGCTGCAATTACAGCTTCTACGCGTCGGGGCATGCTCTGAATACAAACTCCTGCGTTGTGTTTTAAGTTAGGGTTATGATGCTATTCTCTAGTAAGAGCTTCAATCAACTGCCGCTTCGTGGTGATAACATCTTTGGCGATCTCCCGTTTGGTTAACTCCCACATGCTCTGTATAGGGTTCATGTCAGGTGAGTTTCCCGGCCAGGGCAGAACTGCAATATTTTCTTTGATCAGATATGCAGTTACACTCCTGGCTTTGTGGCACGGTGCAGAATCGTGCATAAAAATGTAATTTTTTTCACCAGGGAACCATTCTTTCAGCTGGGGCAGTAGCCGAGTTTCAAGTACTCGCTTATACTGGTCCTGTCTCATTGTCCCTTCCACGATGTATAAGCGTCCCATACCCTTTGCCGAGATTACAGACCACACCATGACACTCACCGGATGTTTAACTCTCTCCACAATGCAATCTGGATGGAACTGCTCCCCAGGACGTCGTCGGACAAACGCACTTTTATCCACCAAAATCTGGAATGTTGATTCGTCGGAGAAGCATACCTGTAAAAATGATGATATTCGCTGTTCACAAACTTCATTCGTTAAAAAAAGTCATACTTACTCGACTCCAGTCTTCAACAGTCATACTTCGGTGTTGTTTGGCCCATTGGAGTCTCTTTCTCTTCATGGCTTCGGTGAGCCGTGGTTTTTTCATAGACCGGCGACCTAGCAGATTCTCTTCGGCCAGTCGTCGTCGTACTGTCCTTCTGGAAACATTAATTCCTTCATCATTAATCATCGTAGTCAGATGTGTCACACTCTTTTTACGATTTTAGAGACAAATATCCCTAATTTTTCGATCAGTACGAGGAGTAGTAATCCTTTTCCTGCCACATTTTCCAACACGGCCGGTTCCAATGCCTCGTTTGAATTCATTTTTATTTTTATTTGATTAACTACAGACTTTGAAACACCTGCAGTAGTTGCTATAACTCTCTGGGAAAGCCTCGAGTGCAGTAATAATGTTTTTATTTCTCTAATTTTCTCTGGAGACAAGTCTGCAATTTTGCCCATGCTAAAAATTATAATTTTAAATTTAAACAATCTTTTTAAACAAACTCGTGTCATTAAATGTAGCAAAAATTACTAAATAACAAATATTACTTACCTGTTAAATATATCTGACACGAAAACAGACCAAAAACAATTTAAAACGATTTGCAAATATTTTTAAACCTCACTGCGGTGACAGCCGATGACTAACTGAGATGAAACAATAATTATTATTTCATACATAAGCAGTCTACCAGTGTTGCCGCTTATCAAAAATTTTAATAGTTATACCAGAAGAATTACCAAGTAAAATACAGATATGAACACCAATTTTTTTGGTCAAAAAAATAATTTTAAATAGAAAATACAAAAATATATGCAGTGTCCCTAATAATTTGGCCACCCACTGTAGTTCATTAATTTTCAGAACTAGTAGAACTAGTTCACTGCGAACGATTTGCATTATACATTGTGTCTCAAATTCTAAAGAAGAAATTCTTATGAATATGACAATAACATAAAGTCTTATCTTAATGTCATAATGGTTCGGTTCTTATGCCCATGTATTGGCTTGGATGTTGCCATGCTGTGTTGTTTCTTGTATTGTAATTTTGAAATAAAAATTTTAGTTGTGGTTAAAATGATTGAGGCATTTACATAAAATATAATTTTATGTAAAAGTGAGAATGAAAATGTGTTATTTAATGATCCTAGAAAATTCACTGATTTTTTTGTAAAGGTTCTTTTAGAAATAACCTAATTATAAATACCTATGAGTTTAAATATACGTAAATATAAAAATAAATCATACGTGAACCTTATTTATATTTAAAACGGTTAATAAAAAACAAATCTTTTTTCAAATCAAATAATTTTTTGCAAATAAAAACTAACTAATCATATATTAATTTAAACCATTTAAACCTAAATATACGATCGAAAGAAATAGTTCCGAACTACTTGTACGGTAGTGAACTAGTGAAAGACTCAAGGAAAAGTCTCTGCCTAGCCCATCTTACGATATTCCGGACACCGCATTGTTCTCTTACAAACTCATTCCTTTTTTGGTCCCTAAGAGTATAATCAGCAATGGGTCTCAGCGTTATCACTTCAGTTGTCCTTAGGAGCTTCTTGGTTTCAGCTGTTTTCGCTCTGGTCTCGATCCCATCGGTCATTACTAGTCTTATGCATGTTATACAGGCCTTAAATATTCTCACTTGACTTCCTATATAGCTCTACCTGGGGCAGTTGATCAGTGGATTGAGTAGCTTATCAGCTATCACTGACAGTCCCAAGCCCTGACAGAGGAGGAGGATTTGAGGCCAGCAACTTGCCCATTGTAAAAAGAATACCTGCCCATACAAACTACAATAAAACCTCGGATAGAACAGTTAACAACTCAATGGAGTGTAAACTTAGAGATATAGGGACTATTACCTGCTGACTCAGATACTCAATGTGAAGCATATCTAGCACATCCCAGCACATCTACATACATATGTTCAGACCGCCTTTTTTTAGATGAATATGAGTTGATTGGGCGAAGCTGGAGATTTAAGTAAGTGTATCTGGTAAGAAAAGGGGGTGTTTTAGTTGGTAAACGGGAGTTCGGGAGGTAAGCTAGAACTACTTGAACTAGCTCCCTCTGAGGAGGGAGGGAGACAATAATAGGCTGCCTGCTCTGTTTATTCAACCTCCTCAGATTCATTTAGAACCTTTACACTAATTAAAAATGATAATTTATAATACAGTTTTTGGAAGCATATCTCTCTTCATATATGGCACAGTGCTGTGAAAAAATATCTGACCGTAATCGAATTGAATCAGTTATCAAATCGAATTAAAATAAAGTAAATTAAAAACCATCGCTACGAACTTAGACAATAAGAAATCTATGCTTCCCCTCTTCGTCCACTCTCGTAGAGCCACATCACATATTTTCGTTTTGTGTTAAGTCAACAAGATCCGTAGTATGCTCCTGTATACTGTATTTTCTTATAAAAAGACAGTACATATTAACATAACATTCTGTCACACCTAAAAAACTGCACATTCGACATATGTTTTCACTGTTTAAACAGTTTTACCTTACCAAATTACTTTTGCCAACTTCAAATAATATTAACAAAAGATTAAATTAGGGAGTCTTCCTAATTTAATTGCATATTGTAAAAAATCAGAAGAAAGATATCAGCTTTTGTTCTAACGATACAGAAGTGATAGTTTCATTTCTTTTGTAAAAGAATAATCCTAAAACACATAAGCTCAAAATACTATATTATGTAGATACCAACCTGTTGGTTTTTCATCCTGTTTTAGTTCTTTTCTTTTGGCAAATAATGCACCAATGGATAGGTTGTCAGGTGATTCAGGTCTGATGGTAAATTTTCCTATAGATGACTGACTATTTGTTTCACTTTCCTTACTTATGTTTGAATGTAATGTTACAAAAGAAAGTCCAAATTGAACATGTCTATTAAAAGGTTGAGTACATACAATTTTCACTCTATCCCATTTTTCATCACATTCAGGTTTGGATAATTGGTCTTTGGTAAACATTCTGACTTTATTGATATTTTGACTTTGTCTGGACTCTAAAGGGCTCATGAAGGCTGAAGTAACCAGAAGGACCTAAAGATTTTTTAAAATAAATAAATGAAAAATATAAAATACATCTAAAACAACATCATTAAAAAATCTAAAAGATCTAGATTAGCAATGATCTAATAATCTAGAACACAAGAAGAACATAACCAAAAAATTAAAAATGCTGAATTTGTAAGAATGAAGAATAGAAAGTTTGTAGGTCTTGTTAATCTTAGATCTAGGTTTAATTGTACCAACCGCGGAAATCTTTCTGAACATATAATATATATATATATATATAATATATATATATATATTATATATATATATATATATATATATATATATATATATACAAACAACACAGTTTATTAGGGTTGCAGTCAGAATATTGGCCGGGATGTTAAAAACACTCTTTTGACTTTTTCTCAAGCTTTCGGAATGGTTTTATTCCTTTTCCAAGACACTGTAATAAGACAAATATGTAAATATTTTAAAAAATATCACAATTCTTCAGTGTAACTTACTAGTTGTTGAGATTATTTATAAAAGCATTGACACTCAACATTTATAACACACATTAAAATATACAATTATGGACAAAATACATTATAAAATTTTTTAAAATTTATTGTAAAAATAGTAAAACTTAGTTTATGGCATGTTTTACTGGTGTGTTTTAACTCATACAGAGAATGGAAAGTAAAAACACTGTAATCAACATGCAATTATTTGTAATTGGTGTTATCTTTCTTTTCAAGAAATACTAGAGGCCCTTCTTAGATGACTATACTTTTTAAACCTGTCTTAATGGTATGCAACATATTATACATAAATGAGAGCGCCCACCAAAGTGGTGTGGCAGTGGCAAGTAGCAAGTAGCACGCATCTAGCATAATGTAACCAATCCTAACGAATGATTAGAATGAATGATGTTACTGTCATTTTGGTGTAAATTGAATCATTCGTTTTCATTGGTTACATTATGCTAGACGCGTGCTACTTGCCACTGCCACGCCACTTTGGTGGGCGCTCTCACTTAAGGTGTAATTTATGTACAGGTAAATATTTATATATATATATATATATATATATATATATATATATATATATATATATTTATATTTATATATATAGCTATAGGAAAGTAGTTTGTACTTAAACAGATTGCTGAAAATAAAATACTGCCAACATAATAGGTGCCTTTATGTAATATGTAATATGAATTGTTCAAATAAGCAAAATATTGATTTAAAAGTGCATACCTTAAAATCATCATTGTTTCCAGAGCGAGAAACAAGAACCTCAACATAAGCAGAGTGTTCATTTCCTATATCTATAGCTGTTATTTGACTAGCTTTTTCAAGTTGTAAAACAACAATTGCTTGTTTCTCTCCAGGTGTTTGGCATTTCCACTTCTTAGAAGTATCTGTTGACAAAATATTACTAGCATTATGAACCTGTAAATTAAAAGAAGTTAATTTATTATTGCTTAAACTCATTTGTAGACTTAAAATATATAAACAAAGTACTTTGATAAGATGTTATCATAGGCAGGGAGATTGACATATTGGCCTAAGTATATTAAACTAATGGTATATATTTCCAGTTATTGTTAATCTGGAGATTTCTAAATCTGTAAAAATGCATAACTAATATTGATTTCTAAATCAAACACAAAATTCGAGAAAGTTGCCTCGACTATCTACTAAAATTATATCCAAATTATGTAAGAATATACTGTCAATATTAACAATAAATAACATGTCTAAACCAAGATAATCAATTATATAATTGTGTAGAATTAACTATTTTTTCACTATTAAATCCTTCTTACTGCTTAATGAGGACCTATACTCCATACTCCATACAAAACAGTGATGTAGTGATGATATGATTCAGTAATCAGTTCAGACAGGATAAAGGGTAATCTATGGCTATGGGCTATCATTGCAAACTAATGTATCTATTAGCTAAATGAAGATGTAGGGACACTAATAAAAAACCAGTCACAAAATTTAGACCAAGAGACAATGGGTATAAAAGTCGAATGTATAAGAATACTTACAGGATCTTCGCTGCTAAAACTAACAACATGATCAATTTTAATAGAAGGCATTTGTCAGAATTACAGACTGTAAAAATTTATATTAAAATATGTTTGTATTTTTATTTCCATTACCGCCACTTCAAAATGTCAAAACATATTTATAGGTTAAAATCCGGAATGTTTTCTCCTTTTTCCTATCAGTAACTTGTATGCTTTAGGATAAACAGTTCCAATAAGAAAAAAAAAAACTATTTTTGCATAATTATGAGTTGTATCGCATTACTGGAAAAATCCGTTTTAAACGTTTACTTTATACAAATTACAAAATATAGTTCATCCAATTTGACAAGATGAGTAGTTACTGTAGTTTCAATACTATTATTACAGTTTACTGTAGTTTCAACAATATTATTACAGTTTTAACCACTATGCTATGCTATTATTCTTTACATACAAATGTTTATACTTGTTAAATGTTCGCTTCTTCTTCTAGAGATGTTGGCGACCACATTGACCCATCCTATTCTATTCACTGCAGCTCGTAATAAATAAATAAATATGTTCGTTACCAATGAATATAATATACCTACTATTATATTATTATTTTCCTAGTTAAACAGTTAAAATTATGATTTTACTGAAAATGTAACACATTCCTTATTAAATACGTTTTATTCATATAGGTGCTTAAAGGAAAATATATCATCTCTATAAAAAAACTTGTGACAAAGTCGTTTTTTGTGACAAAATTTTTTAAAAAACCTTACACTATGTTATTTTACAAATCTTTATCCTGTAAAACGACACAGTCATTGGGGTGTAAAATTACATATTAATATTTGCTCCCAACAAATGGTAATAATGGTAACAACATGAAAACATAAAAATATAGGCAAGTAAATAAACAAAACAAGATATCATTCCATAAAGACAAGCCACATCATCATCTTAGACTGCAAATAAATTTTCTTCACTTTCTGTTTTTGCGGTGCAACTTGGCTTACTTAAAATATTCTTTTTAAATCAAAGAATATTCTCATGTCTTTTCTTTTGTTCTTTCTGCTTGAGTTCTTCCAAATTGGGAGTAGTTGTTAAAACTCTGGAGATTGTTTGTATAGATTCTCTTTTTCTAGTTTTACTTGCTACAGGTACTGGAGAAATTTCGTGAAGTGTAATTCTTTTTTCTGAGGTATATTTTCTTTCGCATTGTTATTTTTCTTCTATTTCTTTACTGACCAATTTTTCTGGTAGATCAGACGTATTTTCTTCTGTACTCGTTGTGTCTAATATTCTATTTGTGGTCTCAGCTGGTTCAAACAACTCATCTGGAAAAATATTTGGGTTAAGTGGGTTAACGCCCATTTTAAAAAAGCCGCTTGTAGTATTTTTTATTGTTGCCGCTTTTCCGTAAGCAGTATTGAGAAGTTCGCCGATTTGATTCTGTGTGATTACCCGTACTGGGTGGTTTTTTAACCATAGTGCACATTCTGGTTATAAAATGTTTTCAGGGGACTAAAGAAGGAAACATCAAGCGGCTGAATAAGAATGTGTGCAGTGAGCAGGAAAGCCTAAACTATTTGTTTTCTGGAAACTCTCCAATCACAACACAAAGGTATCAGCTGTCATCTATCCTGTTTCGTGAAATAATTCCAAGAACTCAGGAGCTAAAGTATACTGTTTATGCAACAGCCACATGTTACATGCTGACCTCTTTCGGCGCTGGTCAACGATCCAACTCGCTTTTTTCTAGTTTTTGCAAACTTTTTTGGAGGTCTCTGTACTTTGGACAAACCACTTTCGTTTATATTATAAATGCGATGATTTCAATGTTCCCTTTTCCAGGGTCATTTCCAACGTAATAAAAAAATTGTATTTAAGGCTTATTAAGTACCATAGCTCTAGCTGCAGACACAGCTTCAGGCTGCCTGAAGGATATTTCAGGATGTTGCATACGAAATCCTCTTAGCCCCTCTCGTCCAGCGCAACGATCTATTTGAAATGATAGTTTTTTTTTTTATATCTGTAGTAGTTATCCCAAACAATCTAGACTATAATAAGAGTATGTGATCAACAAATTCTTTTTATTTGTCGTCACTAAAAGTCGTTGAAAAACGTTCCAAAATTTTTGCGCACCCTTTGGCTCTTGTGTTTACGTCATCTTTTCCATTATTTTAATTCCAGTAAACCATCAATTATCCATCGTAAAATTTCTTCTGGAATTAAACATAGGCTTACACAATCGTTCTACAACGTCGTTAGTTTTGTTACCAATTTTATGTGGGAACTCCGGTTGAAACCCTGCATAAATCTCCAGATTGACGTGTTATAAGTTCTGGCGATTTTCTAAAGCAAAAACTTTGATACCATATTTTGCTGGCTTGCTGGGAATATACATACCTATGAAAAGTGCACATGTAAAAAAACATTTCATCCCGTGTCACGTTTGACAATTATTACTAAATAATTAAAAAATGTTTCTAATAGCAGTGATCTTGTCTACTTCTTTTCTTTCTTCTCTTGTGGTTACATCATCCAGTCTTATGCATTTCAGAAAAAAAAAACGAAAACGATTTATGCCCATTGCAACCGAAAATATAGAATTACCAGTTCCATCAGTGGTCCAAAATTCGGCAAGATATAATCTGTTGCCATATAGGGAAGTGCGGGTATTGCCGCCCACTTAAGCAATTTGTCGAATTAAACAAAAAATATAGGTCTTGAAACAGAATTTCAACTGTCAAAATACAGTCATGTTATCGACTTCTAATTATTTAAGCCTGAAAATGTTGATTTATTTTATTTTGCGGAGTATTACATTTATATTCACAAACCTACACTCGGGCGGAATTATCCGACCATGCGGGTAATTGCGCCCATTGATGGTATAATACCTCCCAGGGTTACATTATATATAAATCAAATACAAAATAATTATTTGCTCACAAACAACATCTATATATTTATTATGTAAAAAAAAACATATTCAAAGAATTACTTATTTAAAAAAATGAATATAAAAACATTTAAAACTACACTCTATTTGCAATAATCGCATACAAAAGTTTTGTGATTATCGTAACCACTGCATTCCTTATGCGCCCATTTATGGCAAACTCCGCGTCTGTACCACATTTAAGATTTTTCATATTCACCACAATACATGCATTTTTCTTCTATGTCGCTGTTGGGATCATCGGAACTATGATCGTTGCAATTTCCATTTCATCGTGGGATGAAGCACTTGAAGAACTATCGTCAAACTTGACTTTCCTCGTGGCGCGTTTTACCTTTTTGCTGACGTTTTTGACAGGAAGTTTTTGCTTTCCTTTCTTCTGTAATTTTCTATTCTCTTTCTGCTCCAGTTCTATTTTTTCTGGAGTTGCCGTCAAAATCTTTGAAATGCCTAATTTTCTACCCCTCTTTTTTAATTTATTTTCATTCACTACGCACAACGGTGTCATTTGTTCATTAGATATATCTCATTGTCTCTCGTTTATAAGCTCCGATTTTGATGACGAAGGAGCGAAATCTGCCTGAGCTTCGATGACTTTTGATGTACTTGGAATAACATAAGGTTCATTTATTTCCAAGACTGCATCTTTTGAAGGTACTAGATTTGGTTTGGAGGTATAGGGAGTAATATCAGCTTCAAGAAGTTGTAGTTCGATAGCGGGAATGATAGAAAGAGTGGAAGGCAAAAAATCTTCATCCGTGAAAATATTCGGTCTATATGGAACAATACCACTTATTTCAAAGCCTTTTTGAGCTTTTTCCGATATATCAAATGGTGTTATTTTTTGGTGAACATTTCGTCTCATATAGAGATAACATTCACTTGAATAGGCAGATTTTAGCGGCCCAAAGAATGTCAGATCTAGTGACTGTAGCTTATGGGACGTGTGGGGCGGAAACAATAACATAGTGATCCCATTTTCACGGCAAAATTCATATGCAGATAAAGAACAATGACTGCTGTGATTATCAAGCAACAGCAATGCTGGGTTGTCCTTAGAAGTAAATGCGTGTTTATTAAAATGCTTAAGCCAAATCAAGAATAAATCTTCATTGATGTACTTGAAATAACATCAGGTTCATTTATTTCCAAGACTGCATCTTTTGAAGGTACTCGATTTGGTTTGGAGGTATAGGGAGTAATATTAGCTTTAGGAAGTTGTAGTTCGATAGCGGGAATGTTAGAAAGGGTGGAAGGCAAAAAATCTTCATCCGTGAAAATATTCGGTCAGCCGCGACCATATACTCAGCCTTTGGCCGAACATTCATATATGACAACTACCGGTCCATTGCGTTTGAGCTGATCCGACATTCGGATTCTAGGATAAATAAACATCGGTGGTATATATATCCCTGATGCACTTACTGAGCAGCACATAGTTATATTTCGACCTCTCTTCCAACTTACAGCTTTTCCCAGTTGTTTGGCAGCTTTTTCCAGTTGTTTGACACCTTTTGGGGTTATAATTTTGGATGGCACCTGCACCGTCGTAATACCTGTCTCGTCGACATTAAATATACGGCAGGCTTGAAAGTTATATTTTGTTAAGACTATATTTAAATTTGTGAAAAAAAGGCCTACACTTTCAGCAATAAAACCCAAAATTCTCCCTAAACTGGTTGCCTCGGGTTTCCTCAAACTAAGATTTGGATGCCGTTTTAAGAAAGCTTGAAGCCAGTCTTTACCGGCCATTTTTTTTGTCATCGTTGAAGCAGTTTTTAATATTATTTTTAACCGCAAACTCGTAAACGATTCTTCGTAAATCAGTGACCGTTAGACCATAGAACATCTTCGCCAGATAGATGCAGCGATCACTTGCTGTTCTTGTTCACAGGAAAATATAGGATTACGACCTAGTTGTGCTGCACAAGCATTGTTGGCATTTAGTCTATCTTTTATTGTAGAATATGGGACACCTGGAAAAAGAACATTAGAAAATGGATTAAAAAATATAAATCCTATATTACGAAACTCTCTTGCACTTTGCCTTTTTCCCTTTCCGTTTCTAACTGCATTTATAGCTTCCTGAAGTCGTTCTGCACTCCAAGTTGCATTTTTCCGTATATTCACCGTTACCTTTGGTATTCTTTATCTTAAATTAAAAATGTATAAATTAATGTTTAATATC